GTCAGTTCCCCGATGGCTTGCTTTAAATCAGCTATCTCGGCCTCCTTCCCATCCAGAGAGGCTCTGAGATCCTCCACACATTGAATAGACTCCTTGAGCTTCGCCTCAGCATCAGCAAGGGCCTACATGATCCTAGATGGAGTACCATGCTCTTCCCCTCCATCACCATCCGTTGTTCTTCAGCCCTCCCACGGAGGTCCTCAGTTTCTTCGAGCTGTTTACCGTACTCACTCTTGGCTTGTTGATACATCACGCGTAACTCCTGAGCCCAAAGAGGTGTAAGAGAGTAGCCATGGGAGTGTAAGTATACCGATTCACTCCTGTCCAGGTCTTCAATACGTTTGTTCAAATCAAGTGATTCCTTTGATAGTCTTAAGATCTCCTCTTCATGAGCTGTAATAATCTTCTCTCTCGATACAAGCTCCTGAGAAGCTCCTATCTACGACTCCATCCTAAGAGCTACTCCTGTCCCTAATTAGCATTGCCCAAGCGTTAACTGTCCAACCTAATATCCTTCCTCAGAATTGTCAGTATAAAGTAGCCCCTAGCAGCGGCGGGTAGCCTAGCCACTTCGCTAGGAACTCCATGCTCACGTTTGCTTGTTGGTCCCGGATCGTCCTCAACTCCTGGAGAGCTGCTCTAGTGTTTAATAACTCCTTCTCGACCTTAAGGCCATGCGATAGCTGAGCCTTGATAGCCTTCATCTCCTCCTTATGTCGCTGTATCTAATATAGCCATACTATCTTCATGATGTAACCAGGTTATGTATTCACACTTCCTCATTGGTACTCCGCAACTCCTCATCCTTCAACTCTATCTCAGCAACCTTCTCTAAGGCTACTCTCTGTAGATCACGATCATGAGCCTCAGCAGCTACTGCAGCGGCATCCTCCAGCTTCGAGTTAGCTAACGATAGCTCTGTCACTCGTGCCTCCACCTTCTGGAGTCCGATCCTGAGATCTCATCCTACTGGGGGCGGAGACGGGGGACATCGAACGATGACCTCCATCTCAGTCCAAAGCGGATGTCACCTTCGCTGCTCCAACTCCTCTTCCTGTCCTTTGATCCGTTCCTTTAGGTTTCCTATGATCCCCTCAGCCTCGGTGATCTTCTCTTTCAATGCTTGGACCCCCTCATCCTGACAAACGTTCGTGTACTAGTCCCTCAGATTCATGCCGACAACGCTTCCAAGGGTAGGGTTAGACTATAGGCTGCTTACGGACTCCTCTCGTTGGCATCGATCAGCTTCAGTATTCTCAGCTAGCCGTCGCAATTCGACATTTTCATTTGTAGCCACCTCTACAGCTTTCCTGACAGGTTGTCTTCATAGAAGGAACGGTCTCGAGAGGATATGCCCAAAGGATGTGATAAAAGTAAAATAATGATGACTACTGGTGAACAGGGTCCATGCTTGCCGACCTTTCTACCTAAGACGCTCAATCTCCCCCTCCCGTATGGTGAGCTCCTTCCTCAAGTGCGCAGTGCTTGTTGCTGATGCTTCCGACTCGGCCTTGGACTTCTTAGAGGGAATCGAGGTCATTCATATGAGTACCCATCATTACATTCTCGAGTTCCCTCAGCTTGTTTTCAAGCTCGGTGATCCTATCATCATTATTCGCTGTTGGACTGCTTCCTTTGGAGGCTTCTAGTTTAACTCTGAGCTCATCTATCAATCTCTCCTGAGACTGTACCTACTCAAAAGCATCATTCAAAGCCTCAAAGAGAGCCGTTCCCACCATTGTTGTAAGCTCAATGTTGCACGCCTTCTCATGTGCGAGCTCATCCTTCACAATATCAACTGCAATCTCCTTCTCAGCTTGAGCGTCCCTCAAGCGTTGTTCGAGTAGGGATACTTTTTCATTCACCGGTGTTGCAGCCTGATGAAGGCAACGCTAATCTTGTAAGAGGCATACTGATTAGTCATCTCAATGATTATATAAGGACAGCAACATTGCAACAATGGGATCGGATATTTGCACGCTCCTACCGTTGTTGGTGCCCGAACAGCCGCAGTCTCACTAGAAGAGAACGGCAAGGCAGCAAGCAGAGTCGGGCCTGCAACGGCTGCTATCCCCTATTCTAGGCTTGATGTATTACTTTCGATATCATTGGTGCTCATACTCATGTTGTAGAGATCCTTATCAGAGGTGGGTTCAATCAACGGTGTGGTTATTGTCCTTGTTGCCTATAACCATGATGATATACACAATTGGTGTAGAAGCTAACGATCTATGGATCATCCCCAAGGACCCACCTGTGAGGCTGTACTTGGCTGCGTTATATCTTCTTCCCCTACAAGATCATCCATGTCTAGTAGGTTTACACACTTGAATATGCCAAGATTCTGAGCTTGGTGGTCAGAAGCTACAGGCGAGGTCAGGCAACCTACACTTGGGGGCCTCAGGGCAGGCTCAGACTGTTGTCGGGCTCTTAGGGCATCACCCGAAAAGAATTTGAAGTCATCCTCGTCGTCACTATCACCATTCCCCTCATCGAGCGACTCGAACGTCGTGATAGATTGGGATTGGCCTGATGTAAGGCATCGGGTATCGAGGATTACTGCATGATGAAGATATACTAACACCCATCCTACTCACCCATGGTGGGCCGTAGCGTCGGGGAGCTCGCTGGTCCAGAGAAGAACCTAGGAGTCTGTAGTACTTAATGACCAGAGAGGCTACCATTGTGTGCTACCAGTCATCCTTAGGCTGTTGTGCAGCTTTCTTTTTCGCCAATAATGCATTGCGTTTTTCCGCTTTTAGTTGCTTGGCGGATACACCGACAGGGGAGGCCTTCGCAACTGGTGACGCTTTCTTCCGAAATTGAGCAGCGAGTGCCTGAGGCAAACCTATGGCGGTGAACTCCTAACAGCAGTAGAAGCTGGGTAACATGAAATACGATGCCCCCTTTAGTGTATAAGTGGTGTCGACACACTCTACTATATCGATAGTACCACCTCGTCGATAATTCCCTGATGTTGGTCCCATGGTGAGCCGCAGTCGCGGCATTTCTCCTTTTTGAATGTATTAGAAACGAAGCGGGTACACCCTTGTGTATTGGGTTGGAGATCCATTTGAGATCAGGGTGAAAATGAAAAGTACTACTGCACTAACTGTATGCATATAAGCATGAACCACATGACCAGACCACTGATGATGACAACCCAACCACGATGACGGTGAAAGTGATGAGAATTACGAGATGATGTAGTGGCTGACAGGACTTGTATTCCCGTCTTATTGTATGCTACTATCACTCGACGTATCTCGGTGGTGTCCTTACCTCGGCACCATTCCCCATCCATTCTACCCTAATATGCCACAATGCATGAGGATTTTGCTCTGAGTCAAGCAATGCTTACTGCTCATGTTCAGTACCACAACTTGGGAGTGGTAAAGCACACCATCCTGGAGGTCTCGACCAAGGGGCCTCACTAACCACAGTATGCCAGTATCCCTAAACATATCAGGCTTCACTGAAGGGAGTACTAAGCACTTGACTGTCGATAACGGTATCGAATGGGAGACAAGATCCATCCACTCATGTGGTCTCACGTGTATAGCGGGAGAGATTCAGTTGGGAAAGGCGAGTAGCCCTGTTTACACCACAGTCTCATTGCTGCAGGGTATATTACACTGTCATCAGAGGGTTATCCGCAAATTAGGATCGCAACGTAGAGTATGGATAGTAAACGCTCAACCCCCCTTTTTAGATGGTCTAATGCTTTGAGAGTCGACCCCGCCTGAAGTGTGGCTGTGCCACAGTGGCTCTCGAAGGTGGATCCTTGGGACTGCAAGTGAGATCTGGTCGTGTCGAGGTAGCGAACATGGTCGAGCTCCTCATAGCAAGATGAGCGGATTTCATCCCTTGTAGGGTTAAACTTGAATACCAGTTCAACAATGGGAGTTCACCGTTCCGAGCAGGTACTCGGAGTGTGATAGGAAGCGTCGGAACAAAACGTTGGAGCACACCTGCCTCCCTTATGGACTTACTTTTTACCCTGTTTCGATGGTAGTCAAGCCACTTGCCATCCTGATAACTGGAGTAAGATCTCTCAGCTCTGAGATGTTTCCATCACCTTTGGTATGTCGGATTCAGGGAGATGGTCCCCGAAGCCTTTCCACAAGGGAATAGAGTAGGTTCACAGGTAGATTGTGCAAGCGTACTAACCGGATAGTCACGTCTTCATCCACATCTTCGAGATCCTAACCTGGTACTCCCCAGATAATGCAACAGGGATTCGCAGAGTCATCTAAACGAGTATCACCATACAAGTTCCAGCGACAGTTCGCGGCAAATACTGATTGTAAGCTGAATACGCATGATTCATAGTCATATCGTGCTTGTTGAAGAGATGATTTCTAGCGAGTTGATGCGTTGGGAAGTCCTTGACAAGAGGATCCAAGACGGAAAATACACTCACTGCTGGTATCGCTTTAACGTATGGTCTGCATCATTGATTTCCACCAGCTTTTGTAGGCGTAATCGCTCAAGTGAAGTTTGCGCGTGCGGGCGAGCGAGTGTCGAAGTATGGTTAGCGCTCGCACGAAAACTGTTCTCGGAATCTTTCCGCTACGAAGTGCCGGGGGTCCGTCTGAGAGAGCTTGTAAGGAGCTATACCGCTAACCATTCACTAAAACAGAAGCTTACAGGCTGAATACCTAAGTTAGCATACCTTGGTGATTTGGTAAAACATGGTAACCCAATTTCTCATACACTAGAATTTGCCTCTGTCTGTCCTTACACTATGGATTCACCACCAGAACTGCAACTTCTCATATATTCGCGGCATGAAGATAAATCAATGGAGGAAGATAAAGTTGTACGAGAACTATCAGATGGGACAAGTGTAGAACACATGTCGACAACTGCTGCGGACAATTCTGAACTGAACCGAAACGATCCCATCTTCGACGCCTGGGACTGGACCCCATCAACAGCATCATCGAGGAGTACAATGACGACGATACCAGATTTGCTGCCATTCATTGACTTCTCCCCAGAACCTATCATTGGGGAACCGTTGCATGGTGGTCATGAAGATGCTACCGTACTGTGCAACACCATTATACACAATGGGACTCTTTGGGAGCCCAATAGCCTTGAAGTGAGGCCTCTGAAGAAACAACGGAACAACAAGTCTAGAGCGCGAAATGGCGTACCCCAGCTAGGAGAGGCTGGGAGAGCTCAGCTCAAGTCTGCGATATCTGCTGCTATCCGCGGGGAGAATGAGAAGAAGATGATATGTCGCGAAATTGGAGTATTGAAGAGTGCAACCATACGGCAGCTCATACAGATGGCGAATACTATTGGATTGAGCCATGTCGTGGATGATTTGGTGGCAGATTTCGAGAGAGTAAAGGAACAGAAGAAGTTGTTCCGACCTCTGAAGGCTATCAGATGTCCACGCAAGCGACTAACATCTAAGGTATAGTGAAGCTTGAAATGATGCAATAGATAATATCAAGTGTATCTGACCTATGTGATCTCAATCTACAGATAATACCCATAATCCTTCTTAAATCAACATCATCATCATAATACTGCATGGAATAAGATGTTCATCAATTTATTACGGCATGAATCTAATCGTAATGTTGAGTTAGGCGGTTATCGAGCTCTTCATCGGATCATTTCCAACTCCCACGATGATGG